GTCGGAGGACGAGATGTTGATGTTAGGTCTGAACGATAGCATAGCCGACGACGAGTTGGAGCTGAGGGCGCCTTATATTCCAATGTCGGATCAGGACGAGGCCCTGGATTTGCTCATCAGCAACGACATGGTCATGTGGAGTCCGCCACAGACGACGGATCACAAAAGTTGTCCGAAATGGTACGAAAGAAAAAAAAAAAAAAAAAAAAGAAACCCATTGCGAATGTTACAACGAGATCCGAGGACGACGAGTTCGTATATTTGTACGTTGTTCTCTCTCTTGCAGGCTGTTGACGGAGAAGGAGCAACGAACGACGGATTCTAGTTTGGCGCAGCTACTGAAAACAGACCAGGTCTCCAGGAAATACAACGACCACGGCGGGGGTTTGGTGAACCCGGTTCAAGTTCTCGGCCAAATCCCTAGGAAAAGTAAGTAGTCGCTTACTTGGCTGGTATATCTGTCTACCAATGGGTAGCGAGAGAACACAAGTCCCTTTTATCTGGAAAGCTTCGAAGAGAGCCACCGAGAGATTGATTTGTCATTGTCCTGTCTCAGATATAAATCTAGATAACTGCCATTGGTCCTCCAGAGTGGACAGACCAGCGAAGCGCATTCACACTGCCTCGATAGACACAGGGAACGACAATAAGCGCATCAAGTGCGACGATCAGTCCGCGAAACGTAACTGTCACCTCGGCCTGGAGGATCATCTACTGATTAAGCAGCAGCCGTCCTCGAAGAAATCGTCGAACAACCTCGGCAACAGTCAGCTGTTGCGTCGCCTGGTGTCACAGCAGAACGTTCTGCGGAGTAATTTCACGAACGAGTCGTTCGATGACACGATAAACGGAAGACAGAGCGTCGTCGATCGTCGTCGAGTAGAAGCGGATCTGGACGTGGAGGACGGCGAAGGAGACGGCGGCGGTGGCGGCGGTATCAACGATGGCGGTGGGCGAAAGTGCGAGACGAGCGATGGAAGGTGTCGTCGAAACGTCGTCGTAGAGAACGGCGATGCGATCAGTCAGATCTCTCAGCGGAACCCGGCGTGCAACAGCGTGCTAATGAATCTCCTGGTGTCCGGCTGCGACGTGAGTGCGGGATATGTTTGCTTCGCGAAACCAAAGCCCCCCAAGAGCATAGCGAGCACGTGAGCCGGACGAATTTCGTTCGTATTTCGCGATCCGAATCATGCAATATGTCTTCTACCTGGAACTTTGGTTGGATCTCTCTGTAGATCGCGAACCGCGTTCTCAGCGTCTCGGCTGTTGTCGCCGTGTAGTTCGAGTACACGAACAACGTGTCGCGATGGGTCGAC